CACCGATGCACAGCGTCTCCACCCATGCTGAGGCCGCGTCCCACATACAGCAACTAGAAGGATGTGCAGCTATAACATACAACTATCTACGGGGGCTTTGGGGGAAAAAATAAATAAATAAAATTATAAAAAAAAAAAAAAAGAAACACAGACTTGCACTGGCTACCTTTTAAGGACAGAGCCAACAGGATTTACTATGAGGTTGAATGTGGAGAGCAAGAGAAAGGGAGGCATCAAAGAGGACCCCACGGTTTTGACCTGAGCAACTGGAAGAATGAAAGTGCTCTTACCCGGACGGGGAAGGCTCGGGGCGGAGGTTGGGGGTGAGGAAATCTAGAGTTGAGTACTGGATATTTTGACTTTGAGATGCTTATTGATATCTAAGGGAAAATCTCAAGCAGGAAGTTGAATACATGGGTGTGGAGTTCAGGGGAATATTCTGGGCTGGAAATAATCTACTTACAGGGTGATTCTGCCCTGACCTGATGCACAAGGTGGTTGTAGGCCACAAGGGCTGTACCCACTGAGGAGTTGTTATGAAGAATAAATGAATCAGCAGGTAGGGTTGGGGACTTGTTGCTGAACTCTGATTTCTTCTGCCAGCCCCCCTCTGCCTGCTGACCCTGCTGCTGCCATCCCCCAGGCCAGGGGCCCCCATCTCCCCAGCTGAGCCCATCAGTCAAGCCTACAGCCTGGCCCTCTACATGCAGAAGAATACATCAACATTGCTGCAGACTTACGTGAGTGACACTGGGCATGAGCAGGGGATGAGGGGAGAGGGACACTGCCCTCCTGGCCCAGCCCTGGGTAGGGGAAGCAGAGCAAGGCCAAGAGAAGTCTCCTCCATGGGTCTGAGGGTACAGGGACTAGAGACACATCCACATGAACGCTGTCACTGATGGCTGGTGACCTTGGGCAAGTCATTCCTTCTCTCGGTCTCAGCTTCCTCATCTGCAAAATGGGATGGTGATCCTGCCTTGAACTCTCAGGACTGTGACAAGATTCAAAGGAAGCACGTAGAGGGAAGGGCTTTACAGGATCATGATTATTACTTGAGCTTTATGCCATGCTGGGCACTCTATCCCCATTATCTCACTGACTCCTCAAACAGTTCTGAGATAGAATTATAATCTATTTTACAGATAAGGAAACTGAGTCTTAATGAGGGCAAATAATTTGCCCCAGGTCACCCAGCTAATAACTAGCAGTGCTAGGATCTTAAACCAGGTCTGTGGCATTCAATGCCAACCCCTGCCCCTACCAACTGTCTAGAAGTTCAAAGTGGCAGCCTGCTGGCTGGGTCTGACCCACAGATGTTTTCTCTTTGGGTCATGCAGTACTTCTTCAAATTTTGAATATGAATGCCTGTCTAAAACAGGCACAGGGACCCTGTTGACCAAAGCTCCTGCCCACCCAGCCCTCGTCTTAGTCCTGCCTTCTTCCCTAAGTTACATGACCTGCCTGGCCTCTGGAGGCCCTGGAGTTTGTGACTCTCCCACTGTACTGTATTTCAGGCCCATGTGAAGTTACTAAAACTAGGTTCTAGCCTCATATCTGCCACCACTCCCTGAGTAGCTTTGGGCACCCTTAGCCTCAGTTCCTCCACCCGTGAAATGGAGATATAGGACTAGGTGACCTATCAATTAGGGGATGTATCAGCGTGCACTGAGAGTCTGTGGATCTAGGTTCGTGGAGGCGAGAACTTTAATGGAGAAGGCACTCAACTAAATTTAATATTAACAATTATTTATTAATGATTATAATAAAATTAACAAACAACTAAATGTAAATAAAAAAGAAACATATAGGGCTGTAACTACATTGTCAATAGTATATTTATATTGAAAATATAATAATTAATATAAGCATAATGTCCACAATATTAATATAAATCTGTTATTAACTAATGGTGGCTTATCATGCCTGTATTGTACACCAGGTGCTGTGCTAAGTGCTTTATATATATTACTTATCATCTTCACAATAATACTCTCACATGGGAATTACTGAAGCTGTGATTCAAAGTTGCACAGTTTGCACATGGAGGAAGCCAAACTGGAATAGAGCCCAGGCTCTGTGCTAGGCTGTCCCACCAACTCCCTGAGGGGTAATGAATGGCAACTCCCCCTGGGAAGATGCCAGTCTCACAGAAGGCAGATGTGAACTCAGGGGGAGCCCCAGGGCAGCCCTTTGGTCCCCTCACTCCTGTCTGTCTCTGTCCTCATGCAGCTCCAGTACCAAGGCAGCCCCTTTAGTGACCCTGGCTTCTCAGCCCCTGAGCTCCAGCTCAGCAGCCTGCCTCCTGCCGCCATCTCCTTCAAGACCTGGCATGCCCTGGATGATGGAGAGCGGCTGGGCCGTGCCCAGGGGGCCTTCTTGGCCTTGTCCCAGCACCTGCAGCTCGTGGGGGATGACCAGAGTGACCTGAACCCTGGCAGTCCTGTCCTGCTGGCTCAGCTTGGGGCTGCGAGACTCAGGGCCCAAGGCCTGCTGGGCAACATGGCTGCCATCATGACCGCCCTGGGCCTGCCCATTCCCCCAGAAGAGGATACTCTAGGGCTTGTCCCATTTGGGGCCTCAGCCTTCGAGAGGAAATGTCGAGGCTACATAGTGACCCGGGAATATGGCCACTGGACAGACCGAGCTGTGAGGGACTTGGCTCTGCTCAAGGCCAAATATCCTGGATAGAGGAGATGGGACTTCTTGTCAGAGGCTGCAACACTTCCCCTTTCACAATGGACTCTTTTCTGCTTTGCTTCTTGGCTAGAAAGGAGACACATCTCATCTAGCAGACAGGGCTTGTGTGCCATGTATTTGGGACTATCTACTGGGAACCAGGCCTCAAGTCCCTATTGCCTAGGCCTTCCTGCCTGGGTCATATGGTCTGCCTTCCAGATCTGGGTGGGACTCTATAGATATCATTTCAAGGATTACCAATCCAGTGGTACTGGTTGCCAACTTCCTGGGTGGGAAGAAATGCCTCTTTGAAGACCGTTCACTTCCCCCTCTACAAGGAGAGAGGACAGTTAGTCTCCTTCGTGGGCTCTCCCCAAGACCTTCCCCTTCCTGTAATTTTGGGGAGGTTCAGGGGCTGCCTTCTTGTCTCTGTCTACCTCACTTCCTGTATGAAGATATGGACTTTCTGAGCACATAGGCCTCTCTTCTTCTTGCTAGGGTTCATTTCCCTCCCTAGTCTACCTCTCTGACTGTGGCCACTGTTCCAGCTTCCCATCTTAAGGAGCTCCACTTCCTGATCAATGGAAGTCCAATTCTTGAAAAACTAAGAACTCATGTCACATCTGTTCCCTGCTCAGGACACATTCACTTCCTGTTCCTGGCTGACAGATGGCATCCCTGGCCTGGGGCTCTCATGAGTCACATACTGTGGCTTTTGGGAGTGTCTGGAGGACCAGGCCATGCTCCAAGGATCCTATTCTCCTCAAAGGTGTCTCCCCATTTTCGACAACTATATATTGGTAATTTTAGTGTTCTTTTTATTTTTAAACATTTTATTTACAAAAAAATTAATTTATTCTCAGAAATAAAACTCATCAAGGTGTTGATGTTTTCTTTCCACAGACCTGGCTTGGGAGAGGGGAGGTGCAGGGATAGGGTAGAGGGAAGTGAAGGACATCAAAGGGAAAGCAGGGCAGGGCCCCAAGGAATGGGATGGGGTGGGGGAGGGCAGCAGGTGAAGTGACTCTGGGGGAAGGTGGCTGAAATTTGTCTGGAATAACCCTCCTACCACAGGGCCAGCAGGCACATCCCAGGCTGGGAAAGGACAGAGAAAAAGAGTGACAAGGTATTCCCTCCTTGAGATGAGACTGAGATGTACACATGCTCACATGGGGCCAAGAGGAGACAAGAGATGGAGGAAAAGGAAGACAAAGAGACCCCCCCAGGGATGGGTAACGGGGGAGGCCAAGAGAGACGGAGGCAGGCCCATGCGATGGAGAAAGAGAACACGGGAAGTCACATACAGAGACAAGAAGGTCCCGAGAGAGAAAAAGAAGCCGAGCGCATACAAAGCAAATAGAGACCAGAGAGACAGGGAGATGCAGACAGTGCGAGAGCATACAGACACTGACAGAGATGGCCAGAGAGAGATGAGGAGGTGACAGCGAGCTGCAGCCCAGCGACCCGTGCTCAGGCCGGGCCCCCGGGCCCCAGCTGGCCGAGGTCGGCCTCGGTGCGGCTCACCCACTCGCGGTAGAGGCCGCACACGCGGAGCCCCAGCACCTTGGCCGGGAAGACGTCTGCGGTGGCGGTGGCGGTGGCGGTGGCGGTGGCGG